TTCGTTTCTTGTTTTCAATTATCAACAATAAAATTTATACATCCGTACGTACACACACTGTTATTCTCGTACATTTTTGTCTATCGTATGTAATAATATTAATATTCTTTTAATAAGGATCATTATTATCGCGAGCATTGAATATTTTATTATATAAAATAATAAAGCAAACAATAAATGCCCGATAGATAAATTTACTTAAAAAATAGAATCATCCATGTAATCTAACAGAACAATAATTTATAAATTAAAGATACCACTAGAAGCAAAGAGACAAAGAAATTTGCGTATTTGAAATTTGAACGCAGGTGTCGTTCAACCGGAGAACAGAGTTTTGGATATACTCTGCATAGGATGAAGTTTAATCACGAAGATTGCCAGTTTTTATTCTAAAGTTCAGCGATCACACATCAGAAGATACGTACCAGCATATTTCATACTCGTATATTTTTATCTCTCTTTCTTTTAGAGAAACTATTTCGACTCTTTTGACGAAATTTCGTGTGCCGCTTTATTCTGTTTTCGCAGGGCAGCTATTTTTATGATGCATCGCGTTGTCGTACAACGATTACAATTTCCTCTGAATCTTTTTTCAATTTATTGAAAAAAAAAACCAATTGCAAACTAAAAAGTAATCCAAGATCTACTCCCAACGTGGCACACTTTCAATAATTCTCTATTGTATGTTACTGTATATTATTTTTGTCGTACAACAATTACAATTTCTTTTAAATCTTTGCTGAGAAGCGAGCGATTTATTTTTTATTATTAAAAAAGTAATCGCGAACTATTCCGAGATCTGTATATTAACTGTATATTATATATTATATATTAATTCTATGTTACATAGTATTATGTAATGTATTATATAATAATTTTATATCTTCGTGGACGTGAAGACGTTAGCTTCCCCCAAGGAAGTGAAGACTTCATGAATCGAATAATCAAACGCTGCGCGTGACGACGGAGTTCTTTTAAAGGCGACCACTCCATTGTACCAAGGGAAACTTTCATCCTTGATTCCCTTTCCGACTAACGCATCATTCGATACGCATTAATCCAACTTAAAATCCCTCCATCGAATATTCCCAAAAGACGAGACACCGATCGTTCGCTTTACGAAGACACTTGAAGCTTAATCACATTCAAGACAAAATCCCAATTATTCAATTATTCAATTATTCAGATCGAATTTCCACGGGTGAAATTAGCGAAATAAACTTCAGGCGAGATGCCAATGAAATGGCTCCATTTGAACTCTTCGAGAACGTTTTATTTCTCCAGTTTATTTATTTATTTATTTTTTTTTCATTCTTCTTCTTCTTCTTCTAAAGAAAAGGAGAGAACCTGGCCTGGACGATCGAGTCTGCTGGAAAAGTCCATTTTTTATCCGGCTGTAACTTTATCTCGCCCTGGAGGCACAGTCGCACGAAACGGAATGGTCCACAGGTGTTCACCGAGAGCTTAGGCGAAAAAGTGGCCTTTAAGGCTACCTCGTAAACAGCCACTGTTCTTAGGTTGGAAACGTGTTACTACCCTCCCCATTGATACCGAGTTTCTTCGACACGAGACACGCAAGTTACTTTATTCACGTGTCAAAGTGGCACACGTTTGTCATCGTGAGATCCCTTCGAACCTGATATAACCATTGATCGGCTCTCGAATCACTCGCGTACAGCTCTCTCTCTCGAAGTGATCACGCCTTTATAAAAGTGATCCGTTCCTTACAATGATTGTCACTGAGGAGTGAACGAGGCGAGTGAAATAATTAATAAAACAATTCGTTTCATCCAGAAATAAAAAAAAAAAAAATTGACCGAAAATTCGAAGTTTTAGAATGATCGAATGTGGAATATTGATTTCGAAAGATCGCTAAAACGTAACCGAATTGAGATTGTCTATGAATGTATGTTTAATAATGTTAATGTATGTATAATGTTAATATGTTCAGTATGTAATATGTTAATATGTTAATAACATTTAATCGAATTGTGAGCTTGCTGCAAGTAAATCAACGTGGATCAAACCTAATATCGATAAGATTATGCCTGTGTTTCGAGATCATTTTATGAAATTGGCTGGTCTTGTGTGTTGATACTCCAAAATATTCAAACTAAGAACTCGAAACGTGGTGCGGTGCAATTTCCACAAAATGGAAACAAGGACCTAAACGTAAAAATATTCGTTCAATCATCGTTTCAGTTCGTTTTTCCCGCCGTACGCGATCCTGCAGAATGTTACACAAAATTACGTTTCGCGACGCAACGATACTTTTATCTTCCTTGTATCGTTTTTGATCGCACGCGTCGCTCGTGTGCATCGGGCCTAAAGGGGATTTAACGACCTCCAATTGGTAGTTAACGAACGTTTGCGATCGTGGGACCTCCTCGAGCGATCGATAATCGATAAAGCTATCTATGTTTCGAGATCCACCGTTCCATGGGGGCGAATTCAACTAGCCTTGTTCGAGGTGAGCGCGTGAGAGAGAGGTGAACCAGGTAGAATTATGAGACAAGAAACGAAATGCGGTTGGAACAGACGTTCAGAGGCGAAACTCTACGTCCAAGAACTTCGTACAAAAGACGCGATTTGGTATTCAGCGGGTTGTTTTCCTTTTCTCTGGTGAGAGTGATATATACATCGTGAGTGTATATATTTAAGAAGAAATACAGCAGAAGATTTGAAAGTACAGAATGTCGCGAAGCATTTACAAATTTGGACCTTTGAAGTATTATGATCAAAATTTATGATATATCTGATAATCATTAAAACAAATTTTAGTGATTTTCCTCTGTAAATAAAATAAAATTCGATAATTTTTTTCCTCTCTAAAAGTTCTGTAGCATCAGGAGACTTGAAAACAGATGAATGTTATAAATCGTTCATAAATTTGAAATTCACATTTATATGTTTACCATCTGCTACGTACACTCCCATTCAAGAGATTAGGATTTTTAATTATAATATATTGTATTATATTATAATATAATGATACGATATATTAATATTAATATTATAACAGAATATTATTGTATAAATACATTTTATATTTATTGTATATAATTATATTATTAATTATATTTTATTGTAAATGCAACAATTTACACTGTGCATATTGCACACTGTGTACATAATTTGTACTTGTATATTGTGTAAGTCATACTGTATTTGTTGTATGTAATATATTCATTGTATTTATTATATTTAATCTAATTTATAATTCATATTTATAGCACTACTTTATCGTGCAAATATAATACTTGTTTTAATATTTCTGAGCGGAGGCGTACACGATTTCATTAACAATGTGAATCTACTTCGAATAATCATCTTCCAATTCCGTGATATTCTTCGTGGAAGATTTGAGAAATAGAGAACGTTATAAATCATTCATAGATGTCTATCTTTGAAATTCACGTCAGTAGATCTACTATCTGCATAATGTAAGTTTTATCAACAATGTAAATCTACTTGAATAAAATGTTCTGCAAATGTTCCGACATTTCTCGCACAGGTTTCGAGAACAAAGAGTATCGTTTATAAATCTAAGAAATACTACCGTCGAATATTCACGATTTGATCCGTTCATAATGTTAGTTCGTGAATGTTAGTCATGTAAATCTTCTACCCGAACGATCTTTCGTAATAACAGAAAAGTGGTTAAACGACGGCGATGAAAAACTGCGGGATAACCGACTCGGTTTTATTATAATTAATTTTAATTATAATCCCAAAGTAAATCTCCTCCGACTGACCATTAATATCAGCGTTCGCCAGCGTTCAATTGAGAATTAAATTGACATAGTCGAAGCTCCGATACAGAAACGTTATTCTCGCGTTTTTCTTTTTCCTCTGCCCCTCTCGTCTTTTCAATTCCGCGAGGAACGAGAAGCGGAGAGAGTTGGGTTACAGAGCGGAGCAATATTTGAGAAACGACTTTAACTAACCATGACGATGAATTCACCTCCTCGGTTTTCCTTTCTTCTTCTTTTCTGTATCTTTGTTTAGCAGCTGAAATTCATTCGCTTCGTAATCCAACGTAACGAAGAATTAGTAGAATTAATTGAAACTCTCTCGCGGAAATCTTCATTCGCCGTCGGTTTGTCTCGATCTCGTTAGTCAAACTATAGAGGGAACAATAAGACAGCGAAGCAAAGGGGATGGAGTCGTCGATGATAAAGGGAGAAGTCTTTCTACGTGGACTCGCCCTAATGGCCACGAGCAATCCCGCGAACGTGACGACATCGAGCTACCAGGCATAGAATTCTCGTTACGAAAACTTTGAAAACGTTTCGACAATCGAGGAACTTTATCGCGCGAACGAGCTTCCAAAAATTCTAATGGACAAAAGTTCGTGCTTTTGTAAGTTTTTCAGAAGACGGACTAATCGTTCTATCTGTACGTATGGTCAAATCTTCTCTTATGTATAGCATTAGGTTTTTTTTTTTTTAAATCAGCTGTGTGATCAGAATTCAACTTCTTAAAGAGCAAACAATTCATTATATACAATCATGCTCATTTAATACGATTAACCCAATGCTTTGCGACTTTTTTCTCAGTCTTCGATAAACATTAGTTATTGCAACATTGTAACATTGGAAGCATTGTACATAATTTGTGCTTATTAAGTCAGTTCGAAGAATTAAAATTCATAATTCAAATTCTCACTCCACGGGACTATAATTTGTCCCTCCTTTCGAATCGAAATCATAATCAACTCAATTTTAAAGATTAATTTCAAGGAGAATTTTCACGTTTTCTACACTCTTCAATTGGTGAGATCTATCACTATAATTTCCGAGTGGCTCGTGTAATATTCGAGCAACGTATCATTTTCGCAATGGATTAATTGCTAGATATTTCTGTTGATATCTGATATGTAACATTATACACTAACTCGTAACTATTTCACGTAGATTTTCAAGTAGAAGAATAAATTGAATTTATCCTTCGTGATAGATTGCAACGAAATCGATCGATCCTAGCTCGTTTCAACTACATCCTACACCATTTGTTTTTCCAGGCACTAGAAAAATAGAAAAAAGAATAGACGTGGAAGTTGACTCACCAGTAGGACTTGGTGTCAACGACTTCATGCCTACTTTCACGTGGATGTCGTAACGTTGGAAAAGTCTCAGTCTCGGACCTCTCGTGCTTTTCTGCAACGTGTGAACAGCTGAAGTCACTGCCTTCGTATATTCCCTGACAGCGAAGGACTTGTGCGGAACCATCATGGCCACCTGTTACACAAGAAAACACGTGTTAGTGAAAATGCAACTGACAGTCAAGAATGTATATATTTCTATTCAAAGAATAAGAATGATTTATTCCAGGAATTCGTCACACATGTGACGTGTCTTTTATATCAGGCAAAGGCGTTATTTAAATGAAATATTTGGAAAATGATTATTTAAGTAACGTGTCATGTTACCTTGAAATAATTCTTAATTTAGTTCGTTTATTTTTGAATAATGATTTTTTTCTTCAAATTATTTAATTACTTGATTCTCGAATAAAGTGATTTTTTTTTTATTTCAACATTGTACTTTCTATGTGTCCAATAATATTTTAAATAGTTTCTAATTCCATTTCATAAACTTCACCTTCTTTTGAGATTATTTTATTTCAATGAATTAACTCATGAAAATTTGACAGATAATTCATTCGATTTGGCATTAAGATAAAATTAATTTTTCAAATAAAAATCATTAATCACTTTAAATTCTTATTTTTTATCTTTATTTCAAACAAAATTTGCTTCATATACTAGTTGCTAAAGTTAATTTAATTAAATTTTATTAACAAACCACTCTGAAATTTTAATATCTAATGATCGACGTTATTTAAAAATCAATTTCTAATTTCACCTCTTACCGAAACTCTGTAATTAAACTATAATTTAATAATTATGCGGATGATTTTTCGTACACAATATCAGCCCAGTCACTCTCATTCTAAATTTTGCGACACTGACTTTAATAAACAAGTTTCTCAGCTTACAAGAATTGAAACTTAGAAAATTTCTATCGAGAAATTTTTTGTTCTGAAATTTAATAGCAATATAATAGCAACAAATAGATGTTCTACTCTTTAGAGTTGTTACTTGTTACTTAAAAATGAGAGAAATACCAGGCAAGTATTACACATGCGAACGGACGAAAAAGTGCATCCGGAGTGTTCACTTTGTTACGACGAGAATAGATCAACGCGCACCTGTTGCGCAAATCGATCGCGCCAGATGAATGGCACGTAGACAGAGAACGGACAGTAAGTTACATTTCTGCCTATTACCTTGCAAACTTTCTTGGCCACGTCCAAATTCGTTACAACACGAACTTGTTCCTTATCCAAGAATGGAAAATCTGAATTGTTTCCTACTTTATCCTAAAAATAATCAGTAATCTTTCTCCACGTCGTATAGTTTTGCAAATAAATTCTTCCATTTCCAAATTACTTTATAGCTGCAAGAATTTGCCAGTGATTTCTTTACATATAAAACTTTTAACATTGAAAAGTGTTGCATGTAAATAAATTTGAACTAATTTAAATTGAAACAGAAACGAATAATTTTTAATTGAATAAAATTAAATCCATGTAAATTCGCTTTTTTTGGGAAGGGGGGGAGCACTCGAATTTCTGAACGTCTGGGTATTACGATTCGCGCGTTTGGATTTTTAAATTTCGCGCGGTTGCGCGAAAATCAGCAGTTTAATGATAAAATCTGAGCCACAGCTGGTATTCATAAATTCAAAGTGTATAATACTGGATTACCATCTGATATCATAATCTCGTCGTCTCGAAACTATTCGACGATCGCTCTATCTCTGTTCCGGCATCATCTTATGAGTTGCAAACGCTGAGTGAACTATAATTGAAATATACTTTTCGGAAAAGGACTTGGTTCCTCGGCAAGAAGGAAAACATTGTTCCTCCTTTTCACGCTGCTACCGGCTGAGATATATGGTTAATTAGAAATGTAAATCATGCCGCCTTTGCAATTAGACATGCGACCTAGTTCTAGCTGAGAGGAGCACGCCGCCATAATTGCCGCCGTTTTCGCGGCAGTTTAACTTAATGCTTCAAAAATTGGGTTCGTTCGCCACTTTTGCTCGTCCTTTTATCGCTTCTTTATCTTACGTGTATTTCTTTCTCTTCTTTGTTTTTTCGTCGCTTTTATCTTCGTTCTCTTCTTTTCATCCTGCTCTTCCTCCGCCGCTCCATCCCTCAAATCTCAATTTTCCTCCCCTTTCGCGCGTTCCCACAGTGCGCGGAAATTTCTTTCTTTCCCTTTTTTAGATTCTTCATTTCATGAACGCGCTGCGTTATTTTATCTCCACTCGTGTCTCCAATTTCCTCGCCCTCGGTCTCCTTTCTTTCTTTCTCTCGTTCGCAGAAACGATTCCACTCGACCTTCTAGCCTTCGCTAATTTATGCCGACGTTCCTCCTCGTCTGTTCCCAGCGCCAGCGTGGTTGCAGCGTAATTTATTCATCTCGCGATGTTCGCCTGACTCCGCGCAGGTGAGTTGAACATTTTTCGCGAATTTGCGAGTATATAGTTGAAATTAATTTCAGAAATTAAAGTAAATACGTGAAATGAAGTAGACGTTTGAATACAATTCCGATAATCGAAATTCTGAGAGTTCCTTCTTAAGAAGGAACGAATGAAAAGAATCACTTGTCCATTTTTTCCCGAGAAAGCGTGGAATCTGTTTTTATATATTCCACTGAAGGATAAGCTAAAATTGGAAGTTAAATGGAACAAAATAAAATGGGCATTTCAGTTCCCAAAATGTACCTAAACTCCAACAATATATTTTCTTTTTTTCTTTCAAGGTTTCCACTATCTGTCTACAATCCAAATAAAGAAAGAAGTAAAACGAAAAAAATTATCTTCCTGCCAGAATTTCAGTCCGTGCCATTCGTTCAAGGAAATACGCAGTGGGCTTTCTCCGAAAACGCCTCGATTGCTTGGCGGAAGTCGTTCCTCGAGAACAGAACGACGACGACGAGAACCACGGCGGATCGCGGCGTCGATCGTTGTCTGGCAGCGGAAAGTGTGCATTACGATGATTAAACGTCAGTTTGATGGCCGATCGAGAGTGATAATCCACATCGACGAAAATGGAGAATAATGGGTGCCGTGGTACGGAATAATTACTCGAGGAACAGGCTTTCGCCGCGTTTAAAACGATCACATCACGGCGAATTATATATCTCGCGGAAGAAACCGGTAATTACCGCGAGGACCATATTTCAGTCAGGCGGGGGCCAATTGAAAAAAAGGATCCGCGCAAACCGACTGTCGCCACCGTGTAATTAGCGTATAACACGGCCGCGATTATTCTTCGAAGATTCAATTAATCCGACGGGGATCTCGTTTGTTCGTGTCAAAACGATGTGACCGTTGTGTCAGAATTTTGGTAATTGCGAAAGTATTCGAACAATTGCTGCGAGACATTCTTATTAAGTGTGAATAATTCGGACATAATTATGTATTCTGTTACTTAATAAAATAATAAATTTAAGTATTATATGTAAAGTAAAGAAATTTGTAGAATAATAAAATAATAAATTTAAATATATATTAATTTCATAAAAATTGTTTCATGATATATTAGTTTATACTGTCTGTATTAATATTATTAAAAAGAAATAATTCGATAAATTAATACTATTATTATTATTTTATATATTATTGTAATTTAATTGTAGTAAGTATAAATTAATTTAATTATGTATGTAGTAAGTATAAATCAATTTATATATATATATTCATAATTAAATTAATAATTTTATTATAAAAAAATATATATATTGTAATTATATTATAGAATTCGAGTAGAATTATATTATTGTAATTATATTATAGAAATTTGTAATTATATTATAGATATTATAATAGAAATTATTAAATTTCTCATAAGAAAAGAAATTTCTCTCATGAAGAAAATTTTTGTACTTTGAAGTTTCACTAATACTGATGATATGAAACACTGTCGTGATTGCATTTATAAACTTGAAGTCATTTTGGAAGTATATTTACAAGATATTTATTGTAAAAAATTTATTTTAATGATATATAAATATAATGTAATACATGTATGAAATACGTATTACTTGTGTTAAACTTTTTCCGAATTAATTTCTCCGATAAATACGTGTTCACCATTTTCAAGTACATTTCTTCGCACAAGATATAAAATTGATCTACAATCTCCTACTAGGTATTTTATTTCCCTTGAAACAAGTTCTACATTCCAAAAATCCCTTCTACCTAGAAGTAGAAGATTATCCGATTTAAGAAAATACGTCAGCGAGCTCGTTGTTTATTAAACAAAATCGATCCATCTTAGAAGAACGTCATATCGCGAAGACCGGAGAAATCCGTTTTCTTAGTATCCGAGACCATTGAATCTTTTATCATACCTACTTCGAAAAAGAACTAAAGTCGTTTCGAGACCCGAATGAAAAGAGCGAGAAGAAGGAAGAAAAAAAAGGGGCAGGGAAGAGGGGAGGGAAGGGAATCGCTTCTAGAGGGAGAGATTCGTTTTCTGATAGAAATTCTAGCTCTGGAATGTTGTCCTGATTACTGCTGTTTAAACTATTCGAAGAAGAAAATTATCGGGAATACCGGAGGAACGAGGAAAAACGTACGAGGGAACGAGGTCATCTAATTTTATCGTTTCAAGTGTTCTCCTCCGTGGAACTGAAAACGCGTGGATGGAATAATAATATAATTACGCGTAACAAAGCAATAACGTTAAAGATGAAGTTTACGTCGAGGAAAAAAAAAA